ATTCACTTTCTTTATCTGTTTGTTGTTGTTAAAAGGATGTTTTTCGAAATTTGAGCCACTTGCCTACCTTTAGTTCACCTGCTATTGAAAGTCACATTCATCGCATCGAAGGGCTGTCCCAGAAGTTTATTTACCTAAATGATGATGTCATGTTTGGGAAGGATGTCTGGCCAGATGATTTTTACAGTCACTCCAAAGGCCAGAAGGTGAGTGCCTAAGAGGAGGGGGGATGTCTAGTGTGGAAGTCAGTTAGCAAATCAGAAAATCAGTGCACGTACTACTATAGTCAAATATCAAACAGGTCAGGCATGGTGGCTCACACCTGTAATCCCAGGACTTTGGGAGGCTGAGGCAGGTGGATCACTTGACCCTAGGAGTTTGTAGCCAGCTTGGGAAACCTAGTGAGACCCCCATCTCTACAAAAAGTAAACAATTATCTGGGCATGGTGGAATACTCATGTAGTCGCAGCTACTTGGGTGTAAGGGTTGGTGGGGAGAGTGGGGGTCACCAGCTAAGATGGGAAGAGATTGCTTTAGCTTGAATGTTGAGGCAGCAGTGAGCTGTGATCACGCCATTGCACTCCAGCTTGGGTGACAGGGTGAGAACCTGATCTCAAAAAATATATATATAATGCCAGGCGCGGTGGCTCAAGCCTGTAATCCCAGCACTTTGGGAGGCCAAGGCGGGTGGATCACGAGGTCAAGAGATTGAGACCATCCTGGTCAACATGGTGAAACCCTGTCTCTACTAAAAATACAAAAAATTAGCTGGGCATGGTGGCACGTGCCTGTAATCCCAGCTACTCAGGAGGCTGAGGCAGGAGAATTGCCTGAACCCAGGAGGCGGAGGCTGCGGTGAGCCGAGATCGCGCCATTGCACTCCAGCCTGGGTAACAAGAGCGAGACTCCGTCTCAAAAAAAAAAAAAATATATATATATATATATATGTGTGTGTGTGTGTGTGTGTGTGTGTGAACAAATAATCATTTTCAAGTGCTAAGCTCAGAAGCTAACAATGAAGAAGTGAGAACACCACAGTTAGAAATTTGCTTTCTGACATTCTTAGACACTCGGGACCCACACTTTTTTCCCGACCATCTACATTTTCCACTACTGTGATAGCAGAAAAAGCAAAATCACTGTGAAACAGAAAACAATTTTTAGAATGTCAGCAAAATAGAAAGTTAACTCAAGTCAGTGCTTAAAGCCATAGATGAAATTTCATTTAAGGCAGGTGATCGTACTCTAACTTTGTTGAGAGGTGAGATGGAGAAGTTATTAAGAGTGCAGACATGGGGGCCGATGCTTCAGGATGACCCTGTGCAGTGGCTTTACCTCTGTTTTCTGTCTGCATAGTGGGGGAAATTACAAATACCCTTGTAGCGTTGTTAGAAGGGTTCAGTGATAAGTTAGACATCACCGTAAACTTATAAGTTCTAAAACTCTGCAACTATACGTGCTAGTAACACAAAACTACTTTCTCTGTTACTGTTTATGCTACTTGACCGGGCTCATTGTCCTGTTCCCTTATTGACTTGTCTCCTCTGTATCAGATTGTAGGGCTCAAAGTTGGGCCTGTGCCTTAACGGGGACAAACACCAGCATCAATGACTGTGCAGTGCTTTTCCTGGTGACAGATGTGCCTTGGTGCTGAGGAGTGTGGGCATAGAAGGCTTAAATCAGATGGGAAAGGGAAGAACACCCATCTGAATTATCATGTACTATGAAGAACAAGTAAGAGTTAGTTTAGGTGAAAAAAAATTCCAATTAGACAGAATATGCAAAGGCACAGAGATTTTTAAAGAGGAGTGTATTTTTTTTTTCAATGATTTTAATTTAAAAAGTAACCATGTGCCCTAGCACTCATTTTGAGAGCAGGTGAATGCACAGCTCAGAATGCTGTGCTGGTTAATTTATCACGGGGCCTTATGCATGAAGAGAGAGGATATTGTCTGTCAGCCTTGAGACAAGATTATGCACAAATACACTGATGAGCTACTGATTTTTGTTACAGAAAAGCAGTAACCTTGCATACTTCCCACCAGCTTTGACATACTTTGGTACTTGCAGTTAAGTCTGGCATGGTGCTACTTTATTTCATAGTAGATTATCAAAGCATGTTGTGAGAGACTAATCCATGAGTTGAATCCTTGTCTGCTTCCCTTGAGTACTAGAAAAAAAGTAAATATGCTCAGTAAGAACTGTCAGCACAGCAGGATCTAAACAATGACTATAAGTACAGGCAAGCTTAAAGCAATTGTGAATTCGTGAACACTCCACCCTTGGAAAATATTAACCTTTTTAGAGAGTCAATTTCATTTTATAAAGGGAATCTTAAGAATAAAACATCAGAAGCCAGAAGTCATTTTATTTTCTCTTTGTTTTTATCGTAGGTTTATTTGACATGGCCTGTGCCAAACTGTGCTGAGGGCTGCCCAGGTTCCTGGATTAAAGATGGCTATTGTGACAAGGCTTGTAATAATTCAGCCTGCGATTGGGATGGTGGGGATTGCTCTGGTAAGGATGTATTAAACTGTAATTTGTTCATTTAATAGATTTTTTTCTTCTTAATCATTATTAAACATGTACTATAGACTTTACCAAACATTCTTTATGTATTAATAAACAATCAGTAATGCTGAGCATGGTGGCTTATGCTTATAATCCAGTCCTTTGCAAAGCTGAGCTGGGAGGATTGCTTGAGGCCAGGAGTTCGAGACTAGCCTCGGCAACATATTAAGACCCCCATCTCTCTCAAGAAAAAATTAGCCAAATGTGGTGGCGCACGCCTGTAGTCCTAGCTACTTGGGAGGCTGAGGCAGGAGGATTGTTCAAGCCTAGGAGTTTGAGACTGCAGTGAGCTGTGATTGTACCACTGCACTCCAGCCTGGGTGGCAGAATGATACCCAGTCTCAAAAAAAAAAAAAAAAACCAGGAATCAGTAGACTCTTTGGAGGTGGTAATTAGTGCTCCCATGTGGCCCAGTTTATTCATATTATTCATTGTTGAGGGCATTGAAGATGAGAAAATACACTTGAAAATGTCTTATAATTTAAAATATGAAAATCTGGAATATACTTAATTATATAAACCGAAGAGCAAGAATCACTCTAACTGGTTCTTATGGGAGCTCACTGCTGGTAGCTTTCAGCAGCAGATTGTGATAGGTCACAGAATGACTAAAGAGTTGCAAAAGAAATGAGTATTTTCTCTCCTCAGCAACTCTTCTCCCTCCATCCCATACTTATATTTCGACTTGTCAATAATAGCAATTTGTTATATTTGCTTACTGCCTTTCAATTTATGAAGCATTAAATTTATAGAACATTATTCATATATTCACTTGAATTTTGTTTGTCACCTGAGAGAGAGTATGTACACAAATGTTATCATTCCCATTTCCATATGGATTTGGAAGTGTTTGAATATTGGAGGAAACAAAGCTTCAAGTTGTATTTCAGTCAGATGTGTTGGATTCACTTTAGCTGCGGAGAAAGAATACAGATATTCAAAGGAGATCTGTGTAGACCAGACAAGCCAGTCTCTACTAGAACATCAGCATTTGATAACAAGGGGTAGCAAGTATGATACCCACATGTTTTTGGCAGTTCACAAACTTGGAATAATCTCTTCTTTTTTTCGTGCTCCTCCATTTCTGTCAGCACATGCCCCTTCAGCAAATGTAAGGCCTGTACTTGTAGGTTCCACAGCTACAAAATGCCAAGGCCTGTTCATCACACTTCTGTCAAGTAACTTCCTTTTTAGTTTATTTTCTTCTTAAGGTTTATGAGATCTTCTACTACAGAATGAGGTGAACCTCACATTAGTATGAAATAAGGAACTGTCTTTTTCATTATGTTTGTTTGAGACGGAGTTTCACTCTTGTTGTCCAGGCTGGAGTGCAGTGGTGCGATCTTAGCTTACTACAACCTCCACCTCTTGGGATCAAGTGAGTCTCCTGCCTCAGCCTCCCTAGTAGTTAGGATTACAGGTGCCCGCTACTACGCCTAGCTAATTTTTGTATTTTTAGTAGAGACGGTGTTTTACTGTGTTGGCCAGGCTGGTCTCAAACTCCTGACCTCAGATGATCCAGCCACCTCAGCCTCCTGAAGTGTTGGGATTGCAGGCATGAGCCACCATGCCTGGTCCAGAACCTTCTTTTTCAAAATCGTAATTACAGCAAGATTCCCTCTTCCTCCTCCCCTCTACAGGTAACAGTGGAGGGAGTCGCTATATTGCAGGAGGTGGCGGTACCGGGAGTATTGGAGTTGGACAGCCCTGGCAGTTTGGTGGAGGAATAAACAGTGTCTCTTACTGTAATCAGGGATGTGCTAATTCCTGGCTTGCTGATAAGTTCTGTGACCAAGCATGTAATGTCTTGTCCTGTGGGTTTGATGCTGGCGACTGTGGGCAAGGTATGTTTACTGCCAAACAAACATATTAAGAATAGGAGGATAAAAAAATCATTGACAGGTAGAGAGAGTTTTGAATGGCTTTTGTTATTTAATATAATTATTCTCTGTGTATCCCTTTTCCAGCCTTACATACAAACCAATTGTAAGTTAAAAGTTAAGAGAACAACATAAATCACTAAAGATGATCTTTTCCTGTTATTGTTGCAGTCTGGTTTTTTGTTTTGTTTTGTTTGGACTAAGCAGATTTACCTTAGCTGAAAACATGGGGTGAAGTTTTAATTTGGAAACAAAAAAGGATATCAATAATTTATTAAATAACGATGGCTTGAATATTGGATTTTGTTGATAGCATATTAATGGAGGTTGTTTTGGCAGAAAGTTTTTTTCAAATGGACAAAAAGATGGAAATTGATTATTGTAATTTATTGTTAAGAATCATGCCATACCTCTATAGTGAGTCAAGATCACCATTTCATGGCAATTATTGTGACTGCCTCAGTGAAATGAGGCTTAACACCAGTAACTGTTGTATCAGAGTATATGATTATTTTGAAATTAAAGTCACTCTTAGAAAGTGGAAACTCAGTGCTTACTTTGGCAGCACATATACTAAAATTAGAATAGTTTCAGCATTAGCATGGCCCCTGCGCAAGAATGACATGCAAATTATGAAGTGTTCCCTATTTTTTTTTTTAAAGAAAGTGAAAACTCAGACCCAAAGAATTAAAGGAAAATGGAGGAAAAATGCCTAGTTTAAAAAAAAAAAACATTTCTGTTTTTTTCCTCTAGATCATTTTCATGAATTGTATAAAGTGACTCTTCTCCCAAACCAGACTCACTATATTATTCCAAAAGGTGAATGCCTGCCTTATTTCAGCTTTGCGGAAATAGCCAAAAGAGGAGTTGAAGGTGCCTATAGTGACAATCCAATAATTCGACATGCTTCTATTGCCAACAAGTGGAAAACCATCCACCTCATAATGCACAGCGGAATGAATGCCACCACAATACATTTTAATCTCACGTTTCAAAATACAAATGATGAAGAGTTCAAAATCCAGATAACAGTGGAGGTGGACACAAGGGAGGGACCAAAACTGAATTCTACAATTCAGAAGGCTTATGAAAATTTGGTTAGCCCCATAACACATGTTCCAGAGGCGGAAATCCTTTTTGAGGATATTCCCAAAGAAAAACGCTTCCCAAAGTTCAAGAGACGTGATGTTAACTCAACAAGGAGATCCCAGGAGGAGGTGAAAATTCCTGTGGTAAATATTTCACTCCTTCCAAAAGAGGCCCAGTTGAGTCTCAATAACTTGGATTTGCAACTGGAACATGGAGACATCACTTTGAAAGGATACAATTTGTCCAAGTCAGCCTTGCTGAGATCATTTCTGATGAACTCACAGCATGCTAAAGTAAAAAATCAAGCTATAATAACAGATGAAACAAATGACAGTTTAGTAGCTCCACAAGAAAAACAGGTTCATAAAAGCATCTTGCCAAACAGCTTAGGAGTGTCTGAAAGATTACAGAGGTTGACTTTTCCTGCAGTGAGTGTAAAAGTGAATGGTCATGACCAGGGTCAGAATCCACCCCTGGACTTGGAGACCAAAGCAAGATTTGGATCAGAAACTCATATCCAAAAATCAGGAGGTGGAAATGTGACAAAAGAAAAGCCCTCACCTCTGATTGTTCCACTGGAAAGCCAGATGACAAAAGAAAAGAAAATCACAGGGAAAGAAAAAGAGAACAGAATGGAGGAAAATGCTGAAAACCACTTAGGCGTTATTGAAATGTTACCTGGAAGAAAGCTGCAGCATTACACAGATAGTTACTTGGGCTTTTTGCCGTGGGAGAAAAAAAAGTATTTCCAAGATCTTCTTGAAGTAAGTTACATCCAGCCTCATTCTTTCTCATGCTCAGGAAAAGTAAATAATCTTGTAAGTGATATCATTATAGCTACTGTTTATCCAGTGCTTCCCTGTGCCAGCCATGGAGCTAAATGGTTTTCTTAAATGGTTTCATTTAATTTACCCACTAACCCTAATAATAAAAAATGCCATATGAAGGTATTTATTATTGTTATCCCCATTTTGCAGTTTAGGAAACAGCCCAAGTGTGAATGAGTAAGGGAGTTAGCCAGGGGCATACCTCAAGGAAGGAGAGCAGGAACTGGCGTGTTGTCTTTACTTGACATTTCAGATCTGGTTATCTTTCCAGCTTTACTCATGAAAAACCCCTGATGTTGAATTAAGTTCATTAGCTTCCCCAACATTACAACAGCAAGTCAGTGTGAACCAAGCCTCAGAGTTGGAGTGCTCGTCCCCCTGTACCATAAACTCACTATGCTGTGGTGTCATCTGTACCTCTACTCAGTGCTTTCATGGTGCTTACCACTGGGGAATGCAAGATGATGGGAACATAGCCACTGCTCATGGAAACTCGGAGACCAGTAGAGAAGACAAATTTGTGGGGAGATAACTGTAGCAAAAAGATGTGTCTTTGTTGAGGTATGGGCAAAAAGTCCAGAGGGAAGACTGACTCCTTAGCTCTACCTAAAAGTACTGGGGAAGGTATACAGGAGGAAGTGCCCTGTGGTCTGACCTTCAAAGGGGTGGGAGTTGACAGACCAAGAAAAAAATCATACAGTTTGGGCTGGATAGTGAAAGCATACAGCCATGAGTGAATGTTAGACTGGGAGAAAAAAGGGTGAAGGAGGAACTATGCCCTCAGCAATTTAGGAAGTATCTTGTGCCTTGCACATGAGTCATTTACAGATTGCCTAGTGAAGGACAGCAGTGTTCTTGACTATGTTTATTTCCTCAGTTTCCCCCTTTTCTTAACTTTTTAAAAAAATTCACAAAAGCATTATAGGCTAGTGGTAAAAACTGAAAGCAATTCAAAAGTGTATGGTAAAAAAAGGAAAGTTCTTCCTTCTTCAGGCTACCTCTTGGAGATAATCGCTGTTAATAGTTTGATGGGTATTCTTCCAGTATTACTCTATAGCTATGCAAACATACGTATATGTACATATAGTTATATATATAGAAATATATGTGTAGTGTAAATTTACATATATTTCCCTTCATTGCCTTTTGATGTAGTACTATGTGGGCAAACTACCCATGCCAATACCATTGTTCTTTTTAATAGCTGCAAGTTAGTTATTTCCAATGTTTCATGATTACAAATAGTATTGCAGTGAATACTCTTGTACATGTATCTTACACTTAAGTGAGTTTTATTTCTGCAGGTAGAACTACTAGGTTAACAGGTATGAACTTTAAATATGTGTTTCTGATGAGTTGCACCACTTCATATTTCCACAAACAGTATACAGGAGTGCTTGTTACACTGCAGTCTAACCAACACCATTTAATGTCAATCTCCTTACATTTTTATCAGCTTGAGAAGCAAAAATATTTCTGTAAAGTGTTTGAATGCTTTGCCAATTTTCTTTGCCTATTTAGTTCTGCCACTTACTGGTTTTGATTTTATAATATTAAAACTATTATATGATGAAACCAAATTTGTTTCTAGTCCTTGTGCTTAAAACTCAAGGACTTGCAGATTTGATATCACCTGCAGAAATAGCTTGATATTGAAAGTACTATCAAATTTATATGTAAATAAATTTTCTAAATGTTGCATTGAATTGGCTTTGAAATCTCATGGTCAATGGCCAGTCCTTGAAGAATACCCTGTAACTGTTATTATATAGATATCCATCATACAGTTGTTATTCTCAAACCAATATTGGTGATAATTGCACTGAAATCCAGTTTAGTCCTGCTAAATCCAGTTTAGATCCTTAAAGTGACCTATTAACATGCATTTCATTTGCTCCTAATGGAGAGTTAGTGACTAGTTATTACCACATTATATAAAATGTCTTGTAATGAAGTACACTTGTACACTAAACATAATGCTGAGTTACATGTGGAATTCTGTCTTCAGGAAGAAGAGTCATTGAAGACACAATTGGCATACTTTACTGATAGCAAAAATACTGGGAGGCAACTAAAAGATACATTTGCAGATTCCCTCAGATATGTAAATAAAATCCTAAATAGCAAGTTTGGATTCACATCGCGGAAAGTCCCCGCTCACATGCCTCACATGATTGACCGGATTGTTATGCAAGAACTGCAAGATATGTAAGTCTTGCTTGTGTTTGAGTTGTTTGCTTGTGTTCAGAACTAAGACTACTTGAAATTTGCATATTTACCATGCTAAATTTATGGCTCTAATATTTGATGATTAATATTATCTAAATAAGTGGGAAGGAAAAAATCCATCTCTGCAAATGTTAGATACCATACATACTTTGAATATCCAGAGTTCGTAATATGTTATATTTGGACAGGTTCCCTGAAGAATTTGACAAGACGTCATTTCACAAAGTGCGCCATTCTGAGGATATGCAGTTTGCCTTCTCTTACTTTTATTATCTCATGAGTGCAGTTCAGCCATTGAATATATCTCAAGTCTTTGATGAAGTTGATACAGACCAATCTGGTGTCTTGTCTGACAGAGAAATCCGAACACTGGCTACCAGAATTCACGAACTGCCATTAAGTTTGCAGGTGTTGTATTGTCTTATTCTAAACTTTTTGACATTTTAAATGAAAATTTTAATTCTGGCTGGGCATGGTGGCTCATGCCTGTAATCCCAGCACTTTGGGAGGCCAAGGCAGGTGGATTGCCTGAGTTCAGGAGTTCGAGACCAGCCTGGGCAACATGGCAAAACCCGGTCTCTACTAAAAATACAAAAAAATCAGCCAGGCATGGCGGCATGCGTCTGTAATCCCAGCTACTTTGGAGGCTGAGACAAGAGAATCGCTTGAACCCGGGAGGCAGAGGTTGTAGTGAGCCAAGATTGCACCACTGCACTCCAGCCTGGGTGACAGAGTGAGACTCCATCTCAGAAAAAAAAAAAAAGAAAGAAAGAAAACTTTAATTCTGACTATGTCTCTTTTCCTCCTACGTAAAGTAAAAATAATTCTTGAACTCCCAACCTCAGGTGATCCACCCACCTTGGCCTCTAAAGTGCTTGGATTACAGGCGTGAGCCACCATGCCCGGCCTTAAAAATAATTCTTAATATTTAATGTGGGTGCTCATAGCTAGTCTGTTTTAGTGCCAGAATTATAACCAAATTTGAGGTTCATATTTTATGAAATTACTTTTTGTAGGTTTTCAGTAAGGATTGATCTTGTATTGTCTGGAGAAGAGCCAGACCATGCCTGCATATGAGATTCTTGTGATACATTCATTCTAGGACTTCAGGCGTAGCTAAATGGACATCTCAGCCAGGCCCCTTCTTCATGGCATCCTCTAGTCCCAGGAGTAGGAAACTCACTAATAGAAGGTGCCCAGATGAATCTGGCTTCAGGGCATGATTTCTCCTGAGCCCTGGACCACCTTGTTTAAATGGGGATCTCAGCGGCCAGAATGTTCTTTGAGATGAAGATGAAATAATTTGTGTTGGCATTGTCTCATTCTGCTCTTCTTAGAGTGCCTTTATCTTCAGAATCATGCAGTCAAACGCTCTTTGAAGATAGGATTTAAGCCATTTTTGGAGGCTTTCACATAATTTTTATTTTTAAAACCACAGTCGTTACTTACAATGCACATAACAGGTTTATCTTCTTTTTCTTTGTTAGGATTTGACAGGTCTGGAACA